TTTAGATTTATTCATATTTATTAAAGATAATTATTTTTTTCATTTAAAAAGTTATAATAAATTTTAATTATTGAAAATAAAGAAATGAATGGTTAAGATTTTATATAAATGTAATATATAAATGGATTCCTTCTCAAATAAAATATATAGAAAAATGTAATATTAAATAATTATTTTTAAATATTTTAATAGATCTAATATATTTTTTAATATTGTATGGGTTTCCCTAAAAATCCTTAGTCGGCCTTGATCGCGTGAGTTTGGATATTAGGTGTGCTACTTGCTTTTTTTAAAAACAAGAAAACATAATTTTCCATACAACCCTTCTCCTTTTCAACGGTCGGCCTTCAAAAGGATGGCTGAAAAGAACATTTAGGAAATAAATTGCGCCCTAGATGATATTGAAAAACAAAGGATAGAGTTCTACAAAATGGATTACTAATTGCCTTAGAAACTTCTAAAGACTTTATAACCACAAAAGTGTAATAAAATCTACAAATCCTAAAATTAACACAAAATCCTAAGGCAATTAATCTAACATGAAATCAATAAAAGAAAATAACATGCCACAAAAATAAAACTCGTAGACAACAGAAAATGTCAAATCACAGGCAATAATTTTCACTATGCAATCCATAACAATTAAACTAATTACTTGTAGATTTAAAATAAAAATAACCAAACTACTTGATAACTAAAACTGAACTAGAATCTACGAAATAATTAAAGTTTGGAAACTTGTAAAATTAAATATGGAAATTGAAATTAAGTAAACTGTAGGTCTGATAGTTACGCAAATATAAGGAAAAGAAGACAAAAAGCATTCAAATTATTTACATAAATAAATAAAATAGATGAATTCATAAGAGAAAGAAGAACTAACCAAATCAATAAGACAGACTCGTTCTCAAGGCTAATCTGGTTCTAAATGCTTAAAAACTAACCTAAGTTGAAATCTTTAAGGAAAGATATGAACAAGAATGGAAAAACCTAAACTAAAGCTATGAATTAAGAATAGATCTTGCAAACTAATTTGGAAACCATGTTGAAATCTGGGAAAAAGCAATCTGAAAGTTGAAAACATATGCTCTAGGCAGTGTGTGTAGGGCAGGTTGTTTGGAACTAATTTTTTCTTCCTGTTTTTCTTTCCTTTGGTGTTGGGAAACCTCTTCCATGTTTCTCGGCCCTCTCTCACCATGACTAAGTAGTGGGGACTCCACGTCTGACAGTTGTTTGGCAATTCTCTAGTAGTTTTCTATTTTTGGTTCAATGTTATCTCCGATAAACCCTAGGGATAACCTCCTCCTAAAAACTTTCAATTTCCTACTTTCAATCAAACTTAAACACCAGAACCCAAATTATCTTCTCCCACCTAAACTCCAACCTCCTTGAAATCCATCTAGGCCCTTTAATTCCAAGTTAGCCCAACCCAAATCCACCTAATCCAACTTAATGACTTTCCTTAAGGATTGGGCTTACTCTTAACACATGGCTTTATCTCATTGATTTATTTTTAAGGTGTATACAATGCCCCCCAACACTTGGTTTTATGGGAATAAATCCAAGTGTTTAAATTTTGAACTCACCTTTAAGGACTCCTAAAACCACGTGCATAATCAATCTAAATCTCAACTTTTTACTTCCTTTCCTGAAAATCTACAGATCTCCTTATCACCTTTTAATCTCCTCTTTCATTTAAATATATATAGTTGTTGACTCCCCTTTTTCTTTTTCTTTTTTTTTTTTTTAAATTATCGACTCATCTTCTACCCCACATTCAACAACACCTCATATGGGGAATCACAATCAAAACAAAACAAACCCACCTTTTGTCATCCTCCTCAACCTCGCCATCTCCGAATTTGAACCCCAGACCATGGCTGGCAGCAAGAAAATCGATACAGACCCTGGCGCAGCTAGAACTTCTCTTCTTGAATCTGATCCTCCAGAACAGACGGACTCTGTTGACATCTTCGAAAATCAAGATCTGCAAGAAGAGCTTTCTTTGATTTGTAACAAGGTACCAAGAAGCTTTTCAGACCAGATGTTTCTTAAAACTTCAGATTCTTTAATTTTGGGTCCTGTTTTCACATCAACACCTCCTTCAAATCTACATGTTCTGTACCCACAACCTCATAGACACTTCTTCCCTTTCAAACTCGAACCAGATTGGGAGCCTTAGCTCGGTAAATTTGGATCTTGGCCAACTAATAAAATTGATGATTGGCCTTTCTGGGTTGCTCGGCTAGAAAAACCCTTTGGAAACACATGGAAAACACTAGGTCTGTATGAATTTATCCAAGTGACCACTTACCAGACGTCCAGGGATAGGGTTTTGGTTGCAGTTGCTTTACTGTTTTGGTCTGAGTCTTATAACTGTTTTCATTTTCCTTGTGGTGCTATGTTCGTTACTTCGTTTGACATTTGTTCTCTTACTGGCTTGCCTTGCGTTGGAGAAGAAATCATAGCTTTATTGAATGTCCCAGGTGCCAACTTTGATACAAAATCCATTTTACTCTCTTACAATGCCTTCATTAAAGTTAGCCAAAACCCATTTAAAGCCCCATACGTGAAAGAACATACTGCATTTTTGGTAACCATAATTTGTAAGTTCATTGTCTGTGTAGCTGGAAAAGGGCCCACCAAGGAATATATCACTTTAGCCTTAGCTTTAGCTCATGGCAGGCGCTTGGCACTTGCTTCATTTTTGTTGGCTAACCTTTATCAAGGCTATTATGATGCTACCGTTTATCCATTCAGCCTCTGTGGTGGCCCTTTATTGATTTTACAGCTTTGGTTGTATTGTTACTTTCCAACCTTGGGTCTTACTCTCAAGCCTTAGTCTACTGAAGAAATTATTACTCATGGCATGATTTACAAAGATGCCACTTTTGAAGGCAAGCCTGTCAAGACTTATGAATCTTGATTTCAATTTTTTGCTTCTCTATCCATGGACAAACCAGACTTCGAGTTTGCCCCATTTTTGGATAGACAGTTTGGGCTAGATTGGTATAAAGCAAAAGTACGGATGACAAGCTTCATTTCAGCATGGACAGCCTATGTAACCCCTCGAGACTTGTTTATAGGCTGCAGCAGTAATTGCAAAAAGAGTGGGGCTGAGCTCTATGCTCTGAACCAGTTCAGCCGGCAGTTAGGTTATTGTCAAGGGATTCTAGTGCCTCTTATGTTCTCTTGCAACCACTGCTTCCCTCTTCGTTACACCATGAAAGGAGCCAATATGGTCTCCAAATACTTAACCACTTGAATGCTTACTCTACAAAACATAGACCTCCAAGGTCCACCATTCAAACCAAGTTGCACTACAATGTACAAGGAATGGTGGAAGTCTTATTTTGTGCCAAGTTTTTTTGGTGTCGTTGAGAACTTTATCAGTCTTCTTCCTTCCTCGCAACCCAGCCAATCCGTAGTAGAAATAGAACCTCAGGTTGATGACACTATCCCAGACTCTATTACTTCAAGTCACGCTCTGGCAAGAAAGAAGGCCACAGCCAAATGGAAGGCTTCCAGTCTAGTGAGTCTTGAAACAGACAAGGCACCCCACAAAGCTCCCAAAA